CGAGATCAAGACTATCAACAATTTAAAAAAATAGCGATATCCTTTCTTTTTGAAAATTTGTGAGTGAATTTACTAGGGAGTTACACCTTATTACACAATATATTTTTTCAATTTGTATTAGCTCAGCATTTATTAAACGTTTATTCTCTATTATGGGTTGGTTATATAACTTTCGGAAAAACAATTAAAGGTATACCTGATATTATATATACAAATATTTACTATAGTATTTAGTAAATACTTATTAATTCAAATTTTTAGCCTGAAAAGGTAGTAGCAATGTGTCAGATACGTAGTGATCTAATAGATTCATGCTGAATGAATGAAATTAATGAATTGAAAAAAAAGTTTATACAAACACAAGTTGCAACATATGTAACACTATCCAAAAATAAAAATAGCAAGTATTTTACATATATACATAAAACACAAAGTATTATATTAACATACTATAATAATTACAAATTGATTTTCATAGTATAATCCGTTTGTAAAACTGCATATAATAATTATAAATTATCATTGTATCTTAGTTGTAAATTGCTTATAAAACTGATCATGAAGTAGTAAAATGCTTATAAATCATTATTTAGATTACTTAATCTTAATAATTATGACATTTCTATCAAAATGTTTTGCCTATATATTATGCATTTTGTAAGAATAAGATATAACATGTTTTTAATTTAAAAAATTCCTTTTTTTTTTGCTATCCTAGATGAGATGACTCAAGAGTCAGAAGATGAAAATACGGAATTAGAGGTGGTTGAACAATTTGAAAAAAATAGTGAAATTAATTCAGTTAATAAATGGCAAGAAACTGTAAATAATTGGGATTTTCTTGCAGAAGAGGAGGAAGAAGCGGTATTAAAATTAAATAATTTAGATGAAGATCATTCAGATGAGGAATTGACAGAAAATAGTTTGAATGATAATCTTGCTATTACATTTCAAACTAAATGGAAATTAGAAACTCTTTTTGATCAAAATTATTTAGGACAACCAGGATTTGTAAATTTATTAAAGTAAAATAAATATCAATTTGTACAGTATTAGCCAGTAATTTTATATTATACGAAGCTAGCTCTTGAACGTTAGTATAATGAAACAAAATTAAAGATATTTTATTTTACCAAATCTTGTTAGTTAATGCTTAAAGGTTCATATATCTATATAGCATCACATAATTACAATAATATTATGTAATTATTTGATATAAAATTTTGTAAGTGTAATGTCACTTAACAATTATATAAATATATATATATATTTTTTTGTATAGCAACACTGAAGGTCCATAAAATATATAAAATATTTTTAAGATATATAAAGTCATATAAGTTCATGTAATTTATTTTTTTTTTCTAATTCGGCTGTCCTGCCCTTGTTTATTTGGGATCAAGTTATTCAAAACTTCACATAAAATTACATGTAATTTATCTTTAACTATAGTAGATCCAACCAAAAGAAGAACTCACCCACATGATTTTATACATTAGGTGCGACCTGCCTCAGTAGCTCTTGGCCTC